AAAAAAAAAAAAAAAAAAAAAAAAAAAAAAAAAAAAAAAAATGCAAAGTGTATGAAGAATATCAAAGAAGGGAAGCAAAATGCAAAGCTATAGGTGAGGTATGGCTTTTTTTTTTTTTTTTTTTTTCCTTTTACAGTAGAAAGTGTAAATTAAAATAGTATTAAAAAGGCTGTGATTGGAGTATTGAAACTGTACCTGCATTAACCTTATGAAACAGGGACGAAGTGATGAATGTTCATCTAAAAGTTGGACTCAATTTGCATCCACTATGGAAAAACTGATTTCTCAGCAATGTCAATGTGTGGAGCTGCTAACAGCACATTTCTGATTTGTATTGTGTTGTGTGACTACAATTTCAGTGCCATCAAATCATGCCAGAAGAACTGTTATTTTTGAACACTGAAAGCTTCTCAAGTTCAAAATAAATGCAATCAATTGCTTCCCCTTTTTAAATGCAACTTCAAAAAACAAAGCATTTATTGTTTACATTATTGGGAAACAGAATATATTTTATAATTACAAAACATCAAATATAATCCAGATTCTATGACTAAATTTTTTTTTCCTATACCTTAATGCAGAGAACAACATCTAACAAGTTTCCTGTCAGTTTGATTTTGACTTTAGAGAATCCATGTTGTTCCAGTAAGCCTCGATATTCAGAGCCACTTCTTTCCTTTCCCTCTGTCTGCACAAGCATGTTCAAAGACTGAAGCAAAGCTGTGCTCCTGTTCTTCTTGTCATCATCCAATATCATTTCAGCCAGCAAAATCCCACAGCCTAATTCAAAAACAAATGCATACAACAGTACTAACCCACTATCAACCAGACAATTTCTGCTAAATTGTACCAAGGGGACAAACAGTGGATGGCAAGCATTACAGAAGCCACAAAGCAGCCAGGTTTTTTGTTTGTTTGTTTTTATATGATATTTCTGGTGGGAGCGATCAAGGGTTGAGGGCAGAACTCAAATAATTTGTTCACACACAGCCTCACTTCCAACTCAGAACATTCTGTGATTCTACAAGACTGCAGCTTCTTAGAGAAAAGATTAAGACTTGAGGATAATATTGCTAGCTGAGACCTCTGTGTTACTATCAGGTGCCATAAAAGTCCTTCTGAAAGCTTATTAATAAATACCCTGCTTCATCACCATATCATTATTAACCTCAGTAAATGCAGCCTCAAGCCATGTATCCTGTGATGAACAGGTGCTTCACAAAGAAAAAGGATTTGCCAGGTGTGTCTGAGGTGAACCTGAACCTACATTCTTTCTCACCCATATGATCTTCCTAATTTCTGAATGCTTTAATACAGATGTATTTCAGCTAGCTATCAAACACTATCTATTACAACTTTTGTAAAAAGCAAACCAAACAAGCCAAAAAAAAAGAAAAAAAGAAAAGGCAGTTTTCTTTCACAGACAGCGTCAGGATAATCTGAAAAAACATACCTGGGAGAACAACCAGTCTGGGAAGAACACCTTCAAATGTCAGGCACAGTAAGCTAAATTACCACAGGGGAAACATACCTCTACAATTGATGGAAATTTACTAACATAATTGAAATTTCTTCACGAGGAATAGAAACAGTGTTGACTTCCAGCTATTTCGGGAAATACGTTTTGATGAAGGAAATTTGGCATGATTTTCTAGATAAAAATTGATGGTTCAGAATAGGTTCTTCTAAATTAGAACATCATTTAATCCGTATTATAAGTGTTTAGCAAACACACAACTTCCAGCCAAAAGATGCAGAAAAATTGCCCGTCCCCCAATTTTTTAAAGTTTTTTAAACACATGAAATAATTTCATTATCCTGTAGACAGCTAACACATTCAGAATTTAACTGAGCGCTTACACAAAGGGGCTTAGCCACTCAATACCTCTTCCAAAGATTTTATGCTGGGTGGCTCAGTTACAATACTGTCCCATGTATTTTCCAGCCACAAATACTGGTTAACAGCTGTAAAGTGGTCAATATTTTAATATAACAGGGACTGAACTATGACAGTCAATCAAGTTTTTTCTGTTTTCCTTTTACAAACTTATACCTTCTATCCTCCTCAAGGATTCTTGCTCACCTCACTGCTCAGTGAGCAAATTCTGAATTTCTCCTCATTCATCTATTATTCTTTAAATCCCCATGATCCTCCACTTAAAAAAAAAAAATTTACTGTGTACCAGATTTCATCTGAACTATTTGTTAACACAGAATGTGGATAAGACAGCACCCTCAAGAAGGCATAGCTGAATGTCACTTCCCAAAGAGAAGCAAAAAACCTATAAGGTTTATTGGCAGAAAATCACTTGCATTCTAAAACTCATCCCTACATTCTTTGTGTCTTCATTCTTATGCCCGAATTCCCCTGTTAACCCCACTGCTCAGGAAATCTTTTCAGTGTAACACCATTAAATTCACCCCGTCCAGTCAGAAACAATACCAGCCTTTTCCAGAAAAAAAAAAAATGTTTGAACATCAGTGAGAAATGATGAATTTACCATTTCTCACATTAATGGAATATATCAAATACAGAATAGCTTGAGTTGAAATGGATGACAAGCAAATTCTGCTCTGCCTTCCTGCTTGAAGTGCAGCAGCTCTACAATCACAGAGCTTTATCCTCAGATCTTAAGACGTACAAGGACAGAGATCCCACAACCTTCCTGGACAATCTGCTCCAACACTTAATGAATGATTTTTCCCCAGTTTGTTATCCAGTCATGGTCTCCCAATTGCGTCCATCATCCCTCACTCCATGACTGTGCATCATAGGAAAGAGCCTGGCTCTGTCTTTTTGGTACCTGTTTCTTTGGCAGTGAAAGGCAGGATTCTCCTAAAACCACCAGACTGAAGCACATTTCTATCAAAGCTGCAAGCCACATACTGTGGCACCTGGGCCATCCTGGTTACTTCCACTGGACTTGCCCAAGATTATTACAGTTTCACAGGCACCTCCTCCTAAATACTTTTAGAACTGCTACTCCTGAATTCTCTCTCTGTCTAGATTCATGATTTTGGTCAATCTCTCCACAATCTTACAACTTCAGTCAAATTTGAGGGTTTGAATAATGCAAGCCGCTTGGGAAGGTAAAAATGCAGCTTGCTCTTTGAGAGGAAGAAAAATGCAGTTTCTAAAACAGAGCAGCCTATTCTGTTTGGGATCATCCAGGAGCATAGACTGAGGACACCCACTGTTCAGTGAAGCAGATTCCTGTAGACCTGGTATTAGCCTCCTTTGTAAGGCAGACAAGGGTAGCTAACAAAATGATCCTGAACCCTCTAGCCACATTGCACTGCAGTAATTTGTTACAAGTTGTTTTTGATTTTGTTTTGTTTTTAAGTAAATGGTTATTTCACATTCATATCTTAAAACTGATTTCACAAAAAAGAAACAAAGAACATAGAGCTGTGTTAGTATATTACCACAGTCACCACACTCAAGGAACTAAGTCTCATTCTGTATAAAATGCTGCACTTAAATAACAGAGTACACTGAGATGATCTGGTAGCCACATGTACTAGTCAAGTTTTATACTCATTAAGTATACAGTGCTTAGAGGTACAAATTTAAGTCTGACCATAATAAATGTGCCAGCTTTAAGAGTGCTGTGCTCTGACTCAAACATCTTCTAACAGCCTGATGTATAGCATAAACTTGATGAATAACTGAAACAAAAATGAATTGCTGGAATAAGTCTTTTAAAATATAAACCCTTTAAGCATAATGGCAAACTTTGTATCAATACAGAAAATAAACTTGTTTCAAATACATTCAGTAGTTTGACATCTATCTCCAAACATCTATACAGATGAAATGAGCAAAATTTCATGTATAAGAAGCGTCTGCTAAGATTTACATACCCCTGTCTGGAAGAAATCTGGCATTCCCCTAGTTTTCTACAGCAGAAATACTCTGTTCTATATGTCTCCTGGATGAGCTGAATGAATCACTGTAGTACATTTGCTTTACTCAAGAGTTCAAAGAGCAAAGTAACTTTGATTAAATAACAAGACTGAGTCCAGCAGGCAGATACAACTCCTGACCTTGCTCAAACTATTTGCTGAGGTTGGCTCATTCAGAAATGTGACAGGCAAGAAAGTAATAACTGATAGAAGAGAAAGCTAGTTCGAAAGTACAGCTTTAATCTCTAGGAATGCTTCTACTACAAAGGACATTTGAAATAGAAATAGTAAATATGACTATAGTATCAGAAAGAAATTAAAAGTTGTGACATTAGAGACAAAGTACTTGAGAAGGTGGAGAACGTATTTCTTTAAAAGCTGGAACAAAGAAATTTTTACTCATAGACCTTTGAAAAGCTGTATAAAACCTAAAATTCATCTCAAATGATGCAAAGTATAAATAGCCATTTAACAATACTAAAAAAATATTCAAAAAAGAACAAATCCGACAGGAACCAACAGAAACAACTCAAGTGGAGTCTGTGTGAGTATATACTGTCCCTGGAAATTAGAAGCTACTGAAGTTCCTATGACATTACAACTACTACAGGAACTCAATTAGAACTTGGTTGCCTTTCTTTGGAGCAAATTTAAAAAAAAAGCATAAAATGGCATCCATGAAGTGCTTCCCAGTAAAGTCCCATAGAAAAGCGAAGATTACTACAATCCCAAGGACTACAGCTTGTACAGGATTGAGTTTAACCTTTTATTCAATGCTTACAACATCCATGTTTCATATAAAGGGTCAAAATGGTCCTAAACTGAAAATGTTGGCTGATGATAGGTACATTGCACACGTTAAAACAATTCAGCATCTCATGCTATTTCTGTGCATGCCGAGATGACTGACTCTTCTTGAAGCACAAAACAGTATCTAGTAAGTTGCCTGTGATCTTAATTTGTGTATTTGTGAATCCATATTTCTCCAGCAGTTGCTTATATTCTGAGCCACTTCTCTGTTTGCCTTCAGTCATACTCAGAGACTGCAGTACAACTCTAGGAGGGTGTGTCTTCTGCTCATCAAGCACAGTTTCTGCCACTAGCAAGGCACTTCCTGCATTTCCAGAACAACCAGAAGCACTTCAGTAGTATTTCTAGCTTCACATTTTTAGTGTTTTGTTCAGAGACATTTACATATAGGTCCCCCATCAAAACAGTGTTTTAATGGGCTTCAGGGGTAATCAGTAACTGAAGTTTACTTTCAATCATCTCTTCCTGGAAAAAACTATTAGTTGTTAGGGGAAAGGTGGAGCTTTGAGTACTGTTTCTACTTCAGTGAAGTTTAGACCACTTCCTGAACATGATTTTTAAACTGTCTTGTTACCACTTGAACCAAGCAACTCTTTCCTGTCATATCCCAGTCTTCAAATAAGGAAAGATAGCCATCCAGTTTTCTTTTGTAGTTTATAAACAAGCTGCCCAGAGCGGTTCTAGAGCCTCTCTCTCTCTAAAGATATTCAAAACCCATCTGGACACCTCTGTGTGACCTACATGTAGGGAACCTTCTTTAGCAATGGGACTAGACTCGATATCCAGATGTCCCTTCCTACCCATAAGATTCTGTGCAACAAGATCATGCTTCGTAGCCTAGATCTTGTTTTGAATGCTCTCCTACGAAACAAACTTCATAGCTACTGTTAATCCTCTTGGATTAAGGAATCAGTTAAGTAAAGCAGGAAGGCTTTTCCCTTGCTTTTTGTTTAAAGGGCTTCCCCTTTGATCTTTTATACTATCAAAACATAGTTGAAAATACAGCACTACATATTTTTCAAGCAATCTCATCATATAGTAGTTCTGAACTCCACTACTCTAGACACTAGTGACATGCAACAACTGCCTCTCCTTGATTAACTTGCAGTATCTTGAATTGGCTTGCTTGTATGTACAGGTAGAAGTGCATGCTTCAGTAATTTGATGATAGTCTTTTCAAAAAAGGTTGAATGCAGTAGAGATAAAGGAGATGAAGAAGTTCCTTGTGAAATCCGCAACAATAAGGATTTATTTCAAATCATTCTATGAGTAGATTTGGATTTTTTGAGGCATTACTATAATGCAAGCATAAGCATATAAGCAAAGGCTGCTATGATTAAACAAGAATATGCATCTTTTAATATGAACTTATGATTATGATTGTGCATTAATATGCACCTGTAATCATGAGAGATTTAAAACCTACCTGGTCTGCAAACAGTTGATATTTTGTTTAATAGTACATGAATCTTTTCATCAGGCCAGTCATGAAGAACACGTGAAAGTATGTAAAGATCTGCTTCTGGAAGGTCATCAGTGAAAAAGTCACCTGTTGAAAGGCAGAATTAGTATTTTTCATTTTAGTTAGTATAGTTCTACAGCAGGAAATAAAAATATTAAGATGAAACTAGAAGTTTCAGCAGAGGTAAAGTAAGAAGCCTGAAGAGGAGTACTGATACACTATTCTTTCCTTAGCTAGAAATCAGTGTAAGAGCAGAGCAGATCAAAAGTAAGAATTCTGTTATATGTAGAAATGGAGAGAAAGCCTAAAGCAAGAGGAGATTGAAGTCTTTTGTAATAACCATATTGATCTTACCTAGATAAGAAAAGCCAAAGACACAGGCATACAAAAAACCTCTACTTCCATTCACACTTCATTTACTACCACTCTCCAACTACTGTTTGGTTCTGTTCCTACAGGCTTGAGAAGTACAGTGCCTCTGTTTAGCATGGGTGAGCCAATGCTGCATTGTACCAGGTCAGATTTGGGGTTGGAGCAAGGCAGCACACCATTTTCTGCAGCAAAAGAGACCGCCCTCTGCTGGAGGATAATAGATACAAAATAAATGGCAATGTTACGCTTACCTGAAACAAATGTCACTGGAGCTGGGCATTGTTCTGACGGCTGGAAGCAAGAGCTGTTTGCAATGACTTCTGGAAGGTCAAACACTGTGACCTTCATATTTGGATATATTCGTATTAATTCATGAGCCAGAGCTCCAGTACAACCTGTTGGAAGTTTAGAGAAACTCAAAATCTTCTCTCCCACCATCTGCATAAATTTTTAAGGATAAGTCTGTATGTAACATTAAGAGGAGACAAACATCAAGTCAGAAGTAGAGGTGGCGAATAGTTAATATTTCAGTACTAACATCCACAGTTAATTTGATCAAGAGCACCTTCCAGTGGATAGAACAATGCCTCAAAGTTTGGCCAGTATAGTTATTATTCCCTACTCTATCATAGATTTGTTAGTATGGCCTTTGATAGCACTATGTCAGGGTTGGTTTTTTTTTTTTTTTTTTTTTTGTATTTGCTGTCTTATTCTTGCTTGGGATTTTTGTTTGTTTGTTTGTTTCTGGAACATTAATGGACTTATAGTTTGTGTTCTTTACCCACAAATTATTTACTATACACAGAGCACCAAGAGCAGAAATTTGACAGATAGTCTCCAGGACAGTGAAGAATATGGATGAGCTCTTGAAGTCTCTGCACAAGTGAGAAAGGTAGCCATCAGTATTTTATTGATTACTCTGAATTCTATCCAATACCTCAGACCTTAAGTGATGCTTCTTTCTTGCACAAGACACTCTCCCTAAATATTTTATTTTTGCCACACTAAGCACAGGGTAAAATAAAAAACAAAAGCAAACAAACAAAAAAAACAACTAACAATGAGTTTCTTCACATCCATCATTGGCCTTCAACATTTTGGTGGTCATCTGAGATATTAATTGGTAAAAACACCATAACCACAGGAGTACTCAGCCCATTCTAAGAGAGTCCAAAATGTTTCTTGTAGCAGTGGTTTCAAGGCTGACATACCAGCACTGGAAGATTCTACCAGCAAAGCCACAAACTTTGTTTTCTGTGTTGAGCTGTGCATCACTACATAACTCACATATTCACTTCAAATTGTTCAAGTACCATGAAGTCACTCAACTACCATTTAAATAACTTTGCTTTTAGTTAACTGCATTAAGTCCTTTCATTCTGACATTACAATACCAAAAAATTAACAGTAGCCAATTTTACCCAACTGAAAACATGCACATTTTCCCACGTAAGTGGTAAAATATGAATCTGAAAGCAAGCTTTTTCCCTTAAATTTGCACACAGGCTCAACTACAGACCATACCTCCTAAATCACAAGCAGTCTTAAACTCTGAAAGATCAAATGCTGTAGCCACGTCTCTTGCTGTAAGGTGAGCAATGCTGTGCATGGCAGCCATAAAACGCTGCTTCACTTCCTGGCTCTGATAATAGTCCTAAAAATGAAAAAGAAATTAAAAAAAAAAACAAACAAGTAATGTAAACAGATTTTATTACTGTAACTAAAGTTACATTCAATCAAGGCAGTTGGTGCACTAATATATTGAGAATTCTGAAATTAAAAATAGATCAAACTGTCATTGCCTGGTTGCTCATCCAAGCTCTTTGCTGGTTACAATTGCTTCAGTGTAGTGATGAACACATTTTTGCACCCTTTAACTGTCATCTAGACATCTTTTGTAGTATGTCTCAAAGAACACACACTTAGCTTGGTCTTGGTTAGCCTAAGGGTTATTAAATTGTATCTGTCTACATGATTGCTACTGAGGTAGCATAGCAGGAAGAAGAGGTAATCTGGAGTGTTTTTAATGCAATTCTATGCCTTAGATATACATTAAGGAATTTGCTCCACAGCAGTATGTCTTTAAAGCAAACAAAAAGACTGCATTTTCATCTATGATCCTTCCTCTTGATATACTCAAACTGATTTCATGCAATTCTGGCATTTATTTTGTTTTCCTATCACATGAGAATACTGGGCTATAATTTTAAAACAGCAATGTTAAAGATCATACTGCTTGTCTTAGATTAGTTAAGAAATTATGAAGAACTAGAACCTTGTGCCTCAGGCTTCTAAGTGATGCATAAAGCACATCTCACTTCCATACTAACCTCACTGGTTATACACTGCTTTAAAGCTATCATTAAGTAGAATATCTACAGGCTATGGTATATATAGTACCACAAAGTGCCTATCCTGCTTGGACACGTACTGTACTGTAGAAAGTGCAGGTCTGAACTAGTAGTGACTACTGCCCAGCATCATCTAGTAAAACTCATGTCAATAATTCGGATTAACACAAAGTAGTTCACCTACACTAAAGTAGGTTAAATCTGTATGAATTACTTCTACAGCAGTTATTTTAAAGAATCCAAGTTCCCTTTAAAGCAGTCTCTAAAGGATTCCAAAGGGAGCTTCTGTCCATCAGTAATATAGACACAATGTTAGGCTAAAAGGACTTCGTAGAATCTTTAAAGGCTGTTACTTCATTCATTAACTACACAGGAAGAGTATAGACATTTTTCTTTAGAAAACTGGCTTCCTCAACACTTAGAAGTTAAATACAAATCAAGAACCTCAAGATGTAGCCTGAAGTACCGCAGTTAAAGATGAAATCCTTATATAAATCTCCTCCACGCTCTTCTTAAACAGCCACAAATATTTATGCCTCCAGTCTGCTTTACAAGGTTTAGAACTACTGAGTTAGGAATCACCTTAAGTGATACCCCAGTTTGAAGAGACTCACCTGGGCTAGTATTAGGAAAGGAATGCTGCAGAGATGGAAACAGATTAAGGCAAGGATTATAATTATTAATGGCAACATTTGCCAGCTTGAAGTATACATAAAACTACAAACTTAGATAAAACAAAGGCTGCACCAAAAGTAACACCCCTTATTTTATTTGGTTGGCCTACAACATCAGAGGTGGATGATAGTAGTATGGTAGCAGAGGCTGAACTTTTCTGCCAATATTCTGTTAACAGTTGTTGCCACATGACAGATGTCAGCAAGTGGGCAGTCTGACAAAACGGCATCTTGACACCAATGGCAACATGGACACTTACTGAATGTTTATGGAGATCAAACTGTGGATTTGAGCACAGTGAGGCAGTGGGTGGTGCATTTCAGCAGTGGTGAAGTTGATGTGAAAGACAAGCAGCATTCTAGATGGCCACACAGACTTATGAGTGCAGCATACAGGCTTATGTTCATCACCAGCAAAAGTTTATAGCTAAAGGTGGTGACTGTTTAAAAACGGTGTTTTTTAGCTGAGAATTTGCTCTATCAAGTAGTGTTATTGTGCCCTTTGTATCTGTTGTGGTTTCCACAGAAATAAATAGGAGGCATTACTTTCAGTGTGACCCATGTAGACTGGATCATTCATCCCCCACATTAACAGAATGATACTTCAAAAACAACTTCAAATGTACAGGCACAACAGGTTGCACTGGATGCACATCAGTAACAAGCCAAATTGAGTGGAATTGAAGAAACACATATTTAATGTATGCCTGGTATAATGGAAAGGCCACACAGTAGTTAATTAAACACACTGAGAGGTCGTTCTAGGGCATGTTAACTGGATGGGCAGAACTTCCATCTGAGTATTATCAGCACTGAAGTTTTCTAGACTATTCTGTGATTGCTCCACAATTTCTAGAGCCTTAAGACTACACTGTTAAAATTGAAGGGAACAGAAATTTATGACTAGCAAGTTATACTGCATTTCTAGCATTTGAGATTTGTGAACATTCTTCAACAGCTCAGTTTCTACTTCCCTCTAGATAAGTTCTGGGCTAACGAGTCTTGAAAAAGAAAAAAAAGTTTACATTACATTAAATAAATCCTCCGTTTTCTTTCCAAAGGCTCGATGGTTCTGCCTGCTTCCCTCTTTAACAGCAGACTCCAGGTGTGTAAAGAGAGGCCAAAGATGGTCATTAGAGTGGATAATGTAGCCATGAAACGAGTATTCACCATCAGATGCCAGATAAGTATTTGCTGAATCTGTATTACTATAACCTTAAGGGAAGAGCACAATTGTAACCAGTTTTGTTCCACCACTTTATAGACATCAGCTAACATTTGAAGGCATATTACCTTGTAATGCCGTTAAAGAGCCACCAAATCCTGATTTGGGCATCACAAGGTGTTTTACTGTAAAAAGATTTCTATGAAATACTTCTAAAGGCCTCCTTATTCTTTGAGCATGAAAAATCACTTTAGGACGTTCTTTTTAAAATGAATGTAGGTGCTGAAGGATGCAAAGAACATTTTCATTGTTCATTTATAATCCAGAGAATTTTAACTATGCATCTGATATTCAAGGAAGACCATTAGAAGTTTGTCATTCTTGACTGCATTTTTTCTGTTTTAGATGCCTCTTCTTCCCTTAAATTCAAGCATTCTCCAGTACATTCCACTTTAGTGCTTTCTCCTTCACATTGTCCTTTAACAGGGTTGAAAGCATCCTTTATTTCTTTTTCTTGGCATTTAAGCTTCTCAAGTATTACAAAGTAAATGATACATATAAAATTTACATAGTGCAGATTGGGAAACTTAATCCTATTGCTGACTGTCACCTACATACACTTCCAAGTACTGTGCAAGTTACGTGTACTAGCATTTAAGCTGGTGCTTAAATTCCAGAGCCCCCCTCATAAAATCTGCAGTTCTCCACTCAGGTTTGTGACTGTGCACAGCTGCAGAGGAGAACGGGCTTGGTCCTTATTTGGATGGTATATCTGAGCTTTTATGCTGCTCCCTGGGACTTGCCCATGAAAGTTACTAGAATTTGGAGATGATTGCTTTTGCTCTCTGAACACAACATCTATCTAAGGTTTCCTCAAAGGAGACCTAATGCGTTCATTAAATAATCCCTGCTCCCAAACAGAACAATTCCAGCCATCAATGATGAACACACAAAAAAAAAAAAAAAAAAAAAAAACAACATCTCCCCACCTCAAATCCAAGTTACTGACAAAATGGGAGGGATGGGAAAAAGTCACCTTGTGGTGTTTTCTCCAGCAACCCAAGAGCAGCACAGGCATCAAGGAGTCTTTCAGTTCCATGCACAGAAGTTCCAACCTCATCTGCAATATCTGCAGCCTTTAGAGGACTTTTCTTTTTCAGACAATCAAACATCTTCAGCTTAGAGGCTACAAACAGAGCCTACATGTAGAAAAAAAAAAAAAAAAAAAGACCACAAAACTTGCATTTGAAAGACTGCAGTCAAGAAACAAAGGACCTACACTTTTGCCACAGACATTCCAGAAGTATTAGTCTACATAATTACTGTTATTTAAGTGCAACATAATAACAACTCCTAAGAACTGTTATAACAGGTTTTTTTCCCCCTCTAAGTGTTCTAATAGCTTTGCTAAGTAACATTAATTGGGACAGAGGTGTATGAGAGAGTAGGGAACTCAAAATATATTGGCATGCAGCCTACGGAGTCTGTATTAAGAGCACCTCTTTATTCAGATATTTAGCATATACCTAGCAATATGCATGTTCCATTAAGCCAAATATATTTAAACATGTGAACCAAGGCCTAAGAGATCAATTTAAACTTGATTTACGTAATATGTAAGGAACTGTAAAGTTCCACTAAGGCAATGTAGCAGCTTCAGTTCTAGAAAGATTGGTCTTCATGAAGTAAAAACTATGGCCAAAAAGAGGAATAAGACTTCAAAGTACAACTCTACCACACGCACACTTCAGTAAGACACACATAGAACACAAAGAAAATAAAACACTGCAGTTTCAGTGCTCAGAAGCATGTTAAAATTCCTAAAACAATGGTATTCATGTAGAGCACAGTGGAAGAACACACAGCAATCACGAAGACACTTCACTGCAACTGCAACCAACTGTGATATACTTGAAAAATCAGTCAGCCAAGAAGAAAGGATACACATTTTATTTAATAAAAAAAATAACTTAGAGAAAGGTATGTTAGTGTATAAACGCTTTATCATCTTCATCCTTTCTATCATTTCCTCTGTTGTTCTAATAAGAACATACAGTTGGGATTTATTAGAATCTAGGCTTTCACAGTATTGATCCAACTGCATCTATACTACAACCATTTGACTTTCAAGATCTGCCCAACTTTCAAACTAATTAATGTGACCTGGAAGTTACAAAAATGAAGAGATTCAAAAAAAATTAAGAATATAAATCATTCCACAATTCTGTAATGCCAAGTTCACAAACAATGCAAACAAATATCCTAACAGCAAGTAAAGATCAGAATACACAATTTCAGAACATGTTGGAGAACTGGATTAGCATTAGGGTCAAACCTGATCTCCTGTTCTGCAATAGCAGCTGTTCATAGTAAAGTAGGTGGCAATGCCTCCTTCCTCTGCAGGAGATTTCAGCCTGCTTTATGAAGCTACAACACTCAAGAAACAAAATGAAACAGATCCTAGAAGCTTTTATGAAGCTAAATGCTTTTGTGCTCTTATCCATATTCTTGAAGTGCAAAGAGAGGAGGTAAGACTTGTCAATCCACAGAAGTAATCCACAATGAGTAATGTATTATACAAATATCTTCAGGCATCAGGAAAAGAAATCCCCAATAGCTCAACACAAAACTTCAGCATTCCGTGCTGATTTTACACCGATTATTAGAAAATGAAAGCTCCCGCTTCTATTTACAGTGGCCATCAACTTTCATTGCACAGAACTGAATTTGCCATCAGATCAGAACAATCAGCAAACATAATGTGCAACTACAGAATGCTGATAATTCTCCATATCTTGCACTTGAAGGTATGCTAAGCATTATCTCATCCATTCAAGTACTTCAAACTTGCTCTGTGTGGATACATCTTACTTGACAAGCCTACTCTCAGCCTTTGCTATACCGTTGAAACAACCTACTGCTACTGTCCAGCTATATAAGAACATCTGATTTTATTATCATAACTTAACTGCATTGCCCAGAACTACAATAAGAGTAGCCACCAATTCACAGGCTTAACTGTGACTTTCTGCTGTTTGAACCACTGTTCACTGTCTTGTGTATCCTCCTCTGCTATTTTTAATTGCATTTAGGTTTATCATTTCACTGTCGCTTGAGCAGTTTTTTCATCTCTTCCTGAAACATCACCAACTCGATACCAGTAATCTATTCAGAATGACTAGTGTTCAATTTCTCCTCCACCTTCTTCACTACAGAGGAGCTCTGAGTAGACAACTTGGTAGCACTTAAAACACCCAGTTATTCATTTCCCATTACACTTGGCTGCTCCACACATGCTCCTCACAGCATGTGACCTTCAGTTTGTAGCCTGTGTTACATAGATGTGTCTCCAGCTGATAATCTCCAGGCAATATACGATAAACAACTGGAACATGAAAAGGGTATTAAAAAAAAAAAAAACCTACTTCCTTAACAGGAAATAAAAATTTTAGATCTCCCCCATAATTCTAAAACTAAGCATTACAAGTTCAAAAGGGAAAAAAAAAAAAAAACAAAAAAAAAAACCAACTATGACAAGCATGCACATATTTAAAATAAGCTTGGTAATTAAACCACATAAAAAGCCTTCCTAGTAGTTTGATAAAAGGTCATTTTCTATTTGATTGCACTTAGTACAAAAAAACCTCAGTGATAAATTTACATTTAAAAGCCTTTTGAAGTTTCCCAACAACATTCTACTTTCACTATGGAATGCATTTTTACGTGATACATTTCTGAAATTACTGTTATTTTGGAGCATTCTAATTACAACATCCACCAGAGACAGAATCATTGATGTAGCTAATGAAAGATAAATCAATCTTCCATAAGTTGCATTTAATTAGACAACATGACAAAAGGAACATATGGGAAGAAAGCAGATAGGTACTGTTCCCAGACATCCTAGAAGCACAGTTTAACCATTTATACCCAAGACTGAACATGCAAGGGCAAAAGGAAAAAATAAAACAGTCCTGTGGACTTCTTCCCTTTCAAATTAAAAGGAAGATTTTTTAACTATCTCTGCTGTTCAAGTTTCATAGAGTAGATAGAATTAATACGAAACAGATACATCTGTATTTTGTCAGAAGTTTCAGCTATCTTAGATTCTCTGCACAGTGGTTCTTTTGTACTATTTATTCCATCTCAAGCATTTCAAATTACCTCCAACAAAGCAATTGGGTCAGTCAGAGTAATTAGTTTTACTTTTCTCCCCTTCTTACCTTTGAAGCTCTAAAACCATCCATCAGGTCTAGAATTTTAGATGGAACTTTTGCTGCACTGTCTGATACTCCATTCTGATTTTCCAAAGGTACCCCAGAACCAGTTCTGACACCAGAGCTGTTTTCAGAGTTACAAATAACTCCTGAGGGACTGTCCAACTTGCTAGCACGTTTATGTTCCTTGAAACTTGAGGATTCACTTTCTCCATCACTTAGGCTCTCAAAAGTGTCCACAGAAGGGATAGAGTCATGCTTTGTATGCTGTATGGTATGTTTAAGGGGTGGATAGTACAACTCTGCTAGTTTTTTGCAGAAGTGATTCAGAGGAAATCCCACCACATTCAAGAAGTCTCCATGGACATACTCAACTAACATTCCACCAAGGGCCTGGATTCCATATCCACCAGCCTTGTCCCTGGGGGAGAGAAAATGAAAGCTGAGACCTATCAATTAAGGTTGAGAATGTGTTTGACAGTAAAGGTTGCACAAAATATGTAATCACTAGTACTGCAGAGACTGGAATAAAGACTAGTCTACTCAAGTTGGAGATGGATTCTAGTTAAGCACAAAGCTGCAATTTGTAAGTCATAACTAAGTATAAGGATTAAGCCTAAGATCATTAAGTTTCTGCCAGTCCAAGTGACACAGTCACCTACGTGGAAGTATATCACCTGACTGCATTCAAACTGCACTGCCATAGGTCACCCAGCTTCCTCCATGGCCTGTCTGGCAAGGATAGTAACAGCAAGCATTCCTGAGACCAACACTGCCACTCAGTCACCCAGTTACATTTTGACCCTACCCCTATTCCACTAGAGGCTGAAGGGTCTTTAGGCATACATCAGCTTGAAAAGGAGCTCAAACTTAAGGGGACGTCTCAAACAACCATAGCATGCGTCTTGCAGCTCTCAGTCAGAGTAATATCTAAAACAAAGACCGGGGAAAAGAAGTTGCTCTTTTTCAAAGTCCTATTCAATTACAAAATCCAGTGCTATCTCACTCAGTCCTACCTAATTTCTACGCAGGTTTTTGGAAATGTAAGTAGAGCTGTATGCAGCAAGGTGCTCTAACATCATGGCACTAGTACACACATGTATTTCACAGCAAGTAACCTTGGGAATTTAATTTGCCTTGAAGTTAATTATGTAAATTTCATTGCGTAATGTTATGTATGCAGCCAGATAAAGTGCAGTAAACCAACATTTTCACTGCTCACGCCTACGGAACAAGATAGGTAGAGGTACACTGACTAACATCTGAACCTGAAAGCCTAAGTAAGCAACCTTTGAAACCAAAGGTCAGTCAGTCTCAGATCTATTAACTCCAGACTGTACAGAATTACAAACTGCTTTCAAAAGAACACTGCTACAAGACAGCTGACAGTTTAGTGTAGATTTGATGAAAGCAAGTTCTAAATTTTTGGAACATACAGAATAAAATACTGGCTCAAAGAGTCTAACAGAAACCAAATCAACTCATTAGAGGATCTCAACCTAGTTAGAAATAAGGCTGGTCTACATTAATTCTACAGATGTAATAGGAAGATATCTTTCAGTCAGAAAATAAAAATCCTTGGTTGAAGAAAGGAGAGGAAAAAAAAAAAAAAAAAATCAAAGTGAACAGCCATGTTTCTGCAGCCATCAGAAAGATGTTGGGCACACAGTCCACTTTGAGATAGTGCTCTTCCCTCTTTCCTTGTCCATATTTTAACTCAGCTATATACTTTTAGAATTAGTCTGTGTCCCCAGTGACCAAGCCTTAAAATACTACATGCTGCTTATTTTCTTGATAAGAAGGATGCACAACAGCAGAAAAATTAGTCAATTTCTTAATTTCTCATGCAATTATTTAATTCTAAGAAATTACACAAGACTAAGTCTTCATTAAAAAAAAAAAAAAAACAATTACTTGAATTGTAATAGTTTAAAAAAAAAAATCTGTGTAGGTGGCAATGGTGGAACAACAGAAAATACCAGAAGACTTCTTTCTTATTACAAAATTTCCAGGGCAAAATATTTTATGCTGCATGCTAGTAATATAAACCAAGATCTACTCTGAAGTACTGCTAGATAGCCTTAGAGTCTTACTTACATGGGCTCTCCACTATGAATGTACTCCCATAAGAGCTCTTCTGAAAGGTCTGAAAATTTTACTTTAGTCTCTTCATAGAAATCAGTGATTTCTGTTTCTAGCTGATTATCTACAGAGAGGAAATCTCATTAGAAACAGAAATTGTAACATCAAAATGACAGTTTAGAGAGCAACAGTTTATTTACACCTCCTATGAATAAGAATTTTACTTAGAAAAAGTTATATAAATCATGAAGTAGCTAATAAAAGTTTTGAGGGACAATGATCTCTTTTGTTATTTCCCCTTGCACATACTCATCACATCAGTAAAAGCTGAAAGCTGGGAGAGCTTCTACCACTGTGTTCCCCTCCGTAAGCTAAGAGCTTGTTCTCCCTGTGTACAATATACTCAAGTTAGCAGAATTAATTGCTAGTATATACATCCAGCAACAAATACAAAGGTTGCAAACATCCTTCTAACATAGGAGTGCCGACAAACAACTCGTAACACAACATGGTTAAAATTATAGCTATTATATGTATATGCCTGAGTGTGCAGCTGCATCTGTACTGCAGACATCCAGCAGTGCCATCTGCAGTGTGATCTTTCATCTCTCTCAATAAATAAGAAGAGAGATTTCAGCCTTCTTTTTCTAAAGGTAATTGTAAGACAAAGGTGCTGTGAAGTGTGCTATGAAGCACTGCATGTCTGGGTGCGGGCTCCAACAGTATAATGCATGGGTACACTGAACTCAGTAAGATCACAGAGCAAGGCTGCAACAAAATATATTCAAAAGAAAGCAGCCTTCTAAGAATGAGCATGCACTAGCACATTGACTCTTTCCTACAAGACTGACGAACACATCTCCTCCTACTGCTGTGCACATTAGTCTGTATTCTGGTAGCAGTTGAAATTCCCCAGGAGGTGAAAGAAGATCCGCAGTACACTAATTGCAAGTGGTGTTAGCATTGAAAGAACATCACGATTCAGGTGAAATTAAGGAAAAATGTTAGTAACCAGTCCTCCTATGCTACGTGTTGATGAAAATTCTGTCTGGAGCTTAAATGCAAAACTTAGCAACACATTATAATTATCAACTAAAACAAAAATGAATTCAAAAAAAAAAAAAAAAACCTGAACACCTCTTCTACTGAATCACTTGATGAATACGCTGACTTCAGATGTATTTATTCATCTGAATATACCATGGCTTCAACTTCTAAACTCCAGATGAGACAAGCTGTCATCAGCATCGCTACTGACAGTATATGCAACTTTATTTTTCTCTTAAACAAGACAAGGCATTATTCTTCCTAGATTGCTCACAGACCACTTGAAAACATTTTCTTTTTCAGCTGTTACTGTTTCTACTGTACAAACATCAATAAGATTATTGGATCACTGACCTTATTTCTGCTACAAGACTTAAGAACAACCATTCCAATAAAAACAAAGCTATAATGAATTTATCTACATAAAACCATATTCATTGAAATTTCAGAGAAAGGATTTTGATGCAAGTTCCTCTAATGAAGTACTGACATTAACTATCAGAGGAAATCCTTTAAACACTCAAAATTTGACATTAGAGTGCTCAAAAAACAATCATTCACTGAAAAAGTTATGTGATAAATACAGATATATGGCCCCCTACAGTTGCTGTGCCTGAATTTCAGTTACAGTATTTCCTCCAGTTTACACTGATCTTTAAGTTTGTCCCATAGATCTCAGAGCATTTTTATAGGCTTGTATTTTGTCATAAAGGACGATGACAACTGAATGCAGTAAGATGGGTAGCTTTTGTGACGAGCTTTTAGTTTAAATATTAGGTAATTCCCACACTGAGTTAGACACCAATTCAGACTATGTAAGAGAAAGTCGAAGTCTTTATGCAAATAATTGCTCATAAAAACACGGAGTAAAAAGAAAACAAACTAAACTGAGGTACCTTTACTGCTGCAGTGTATAATAACCACTCCTGTGAAAACGCTGTGCTCCTTCCCACTCAACCTGTCAGGGAAAATCATGTATGAAGCAACAGTTATAAAACCTGTCACAAGCAAAAGCATTCTTCATGATTATATTGCCACACCCCGAAACAGATCATATAAAAACACCAACATGATGTGTCATAAGCAAATACATTCTTAGTTCAATATAGGTGAAAAGATATTAATAAAACACAACAAAAAAAAATTAAGATTTATGGCAAGACTCTAAAATCCCACTGACACCAACATCCACAATTTGAGAAAGCAATGAGCGGTGCCAGACTATTCACCATACAGAAGCAGCAACTATTTCAAATGCATAAGAAAAAGCCAGTCAACATTTATGCTACCATTACAGCTACCTCCACTGAAAACCACCAATAAGCAGTTAGGTCACTGAGCAGGCTTCTAGCACTGAAAGCCTGAAGTGGTAGCCACTCTTCTAGTGGCTCCAGAGTGCCACACTGTGGCTGAATAATTGTAAAGGCATCAAGTTTGTGGAATATAGAAGCAATTAAACTATCCTAAGTATCATGAAAGTTAGATTTTTGAAGAGATTAGCCAGGCTACCATGTGACGTAACCAGAAGCATCTCACCCTTAACACCGCACACTGAAGTCAGTGTGATTAATTGCAGAATGAAACCTCAAATGAAAAATTCTTAATCTGATACTTTGGATATGAGGACATATCTTGCCCAAACGTTTTCCAATTCATTCAGAACACAATTAACATCAGTACGTAATGGGACTTTTTTTATAAGAAAAACTTGGTATCATTTTAAGCAAAAACAGTAGTAAGCAGTCTCTGGGCAGACTTTTCCAAGAATCTCCTACTAGCAACATATGCCACTGTTATGCAGTAAAGAACCAAAACAAAAAGCCCTACCACTATTAAATTAGCAACATGCCCCAAAGGATTAAAAATTCAGTTTAACTCACCAGTGCAAAAAAGTAATCTAAAATAGACTTAAAGAAACCCAACCGACTCAAGGTTAGACCTTCACCTAAACTGCAGACCCAGGCAAACTCCTTGTATTCTGTCTAGCAGACTCCTCAGTTGCATTATAAACTGCTGAATCAAGTACTGCACCCTCTTTTTCCCTTCCCATACAACACAAGACTGTCTGACTAGCAGACTCATCACATCTCATCCTTGAAAAATAATGTTAGTTTTATTTATGTTATTCAGTTAGTGTTTCTTTAAAAGTAATTAACAAAAAACCCATTAAATTTGAAAAGAAAAATATCCTTCAGGAGAAAAAAAAAAAGCAGAAGCTTAAAAGCCTGACAGCCTATCCACTGAGAGCAACAATGGAAGTAAATAAAACAATTTCCTCAATTAAACTATAAACCCATAAAGCAGAATCTGGGTTGGAGCAAAACTGCAAGTGTAGCTTCAGTTTGAGACACTAACACATTTTCTTATAATTTCACAATGCGACCCTACTTGAATAGATGGGCTGGAGAAAATGACCTACCAGAGGTTCCTTCCAGCTTCAATCATTCAGCCAGTCAATTTCACTAATGACTGTATTACATCTTACTGAGAAGCAAATTAGACAAATGCTTATCCAATAGTAAACTTAAACTGAAGACATTGTTCATTTCTCTTGAAAGGAAACAAGGTACTAGGAGTTCAAAGTAGGTGTCAATGAGCATGCATCACTCTCTCATACATGCAATTATCTTCTTTAAAATTCAAGCCTCAAACTACTTCTGTTCTTTGCCCCATCATAATTCTCTCCCTGTCTTCCCCTCCAGTATTAACTGAAGCGTACAGAAAGTCCTGCAATAATTCACTCCAGAAATTAAAATGAAAACAAAATGGTTTGTTAAGTCCCCCATCACCCTGCAGTGAAAGAGCAAGAACAAGCAGCTTTGAAAAAACACACCCAATTTTCAGAGACAAAACGGGCTTATGATACTTAAAATCATCAGAAAAAAAACACAGCCAGAGATTTCTCAATATACATTTATACAGCTCCCGTTAAAAGAACTCAAATGTACACATTTTGAATTTTATGTAGAATTACAAACCTTGATAACATCCTATATGCATCTTGCTTATCAACTGGTTTCTCCAAGATCTGCTCATCCACAGTCTGAAACAGAAAGATGGAGATACTGTGCTGTGTTCTTAGTTGTCTGAAACTGAGGATTCAAAATAATGATTTAAAATAAGTTTTCAGCCACATCTTCAAAATGAGACTACTGAGCAGAGCAAGAAACAGAAACAGATAGTATTGTCTCTGGAAGAATAGTACTGAGGCTTTGAGCACTCAAGACAGCAAAATTGACTTGTTAGGAAGAAATGACTTTGTAATACATGTACAAAACCTCAAAACACATCTCACCTCAGGTGCAACTGGTTAATGAAAAATCATTTTCCAACCCCAACTTTAAGCCTAAATACGCTTGTATTTTCTACACACGTCATGGTTTAAAACATTGCTAAAGCTCAGAAGACCTCTTACCACAATAGTGTCTGCTCCTATAACAATATCAGGTGTTCTCAGGTGTTTCTGAAAAGGCATAAAGAATGTATGTTTCAAAAAAAAGTAGAAAGGATAAAATACTAAAAAAAAAAAAAAAAAAAAAAAAAAAAAAAAAAAAAAAAAAAAAAAAGCCAAGAAAATATTAGTTCACCAGGCAGACTTACAGGCAGGGCTTTACAGGGAACTGAAAAACATGACTCTCTTTCTCCTTTTGCACTGTTTACAAAATAGTAATCATCTATAACACCACAAAAGTGAATAAAACAGTAGAGTTGAGCAGACTAATCTCAGGTTACAACTTCACCCAAATACATTACTGATGAGCAAATACATCCAGGAGAAGACTGCCTGCACTCCCAGAGGCTAATTTGATCTTGAAAGGGCATTTAGATTTCCTTTACAGCAAGCACCCTATGCGCTGGGGACAGGTATGTAGACCTGAAGCCCTCTAGAACCAGCTTCTATAATCAAGATCTCTGAATGATTTCTCTTTAGCTACAATTCTTTTCTTCGGAGGAACACATACAGTACAGTTCAAGAAACTGAGAAGTATAGGCATACAAAGAATCCTTACAGCCCTTAATTTCTTGGCTTCAAGCTGTATGTAACCTGTCCTTACAGATACTTGCATGTTAATGAGGTAAATAGCTACTATTTAACACAAGAGAGGAAATTTGTCTCCAACTCTGACTCTTAAACAAGAAAGTCTATAGGGAAGAGATTATTCTCCAGAAAAAACCTCCTTTTTCAAAACACATTTAGAAATCTGAATGAACATTATCACCAGCATACTGCTTTGAAATGAATTATAGAATGGCCTGGCCTGAAAAGGACCACAATCATCATCTCATTCCAACCCCCCTGCTATGTGCAGGGTTGCCAACCACCAGACCAGGCTGCCCAGAGCCACATCCAGCCTGGCCTTGAATGCTTCCAGGGATGGGGCATCCACAGCCTCCTTGGGCAACCTGTTCCAGTGCATCACCACCCTCTGAGAGATAAACCTCCTCCTAATGTATGACCTAAAGCTCCTCTGTCTCAATTTAAAACCATTCCCCCTTGTCATATCACTACACAACCTGGTAAACAGCTGTTCCCCCTCCTGTTTATATGCTCCCTTCAAGTATAGGAAAGCCACAATGAGGTCTCCCTGGAGCCTCCTCCTTTCCAAGCTAAACAAGCCCAGTTCCCTCATTTCTTCATAGGAGAGGTGCTCCAGCCCTCTGATCATCTTTGTGGCCTTCCTTCGGACCCAATCCAAGAGCTCCATGTCCTTCCTGTACTGGGAGCCCCAGGAAAGGCCAGTGTAGGGCAGTTTGCAAACATGGGCTTGATACACACTCTAATTTCGCATCATTCTCTGAAAAAAAGTTGATAGAAACCTGTATAACAATTTATACTGAAGATCATGCAATATTTGCTTTAAATAATGGTAACATCTGGCAACACTGTTGGTTTACAGTGTTTTCTGACATCAGTATAGGCTGAACGAGTACACTCCTCTTTCAGAGTTGTAATAAAACATTATTACAATATACTTCACAGGTCTCATCAGCCAGACTCCTGAAAAGGTTCTGGTAAAGAACAGCTTGATGTGCTCAAACACAGCAGTTGCAGACAAGGGCAGAAATCCAACCAACACTGCATATTTGGTAACAGATTTTATAATATTTAAGAATAACAGACATGAAACTGTTAGATTCTCACTCTTTTTAGAGTATGTCAGCCTTCTTCTGCAGTGTTTTACAGAATCACAGCAGATTGTCTCCTTTTTCTGCTTTCCAAGCATCTTCATTCTTATGAATTCTGAGTTCTCTTGTCACAACTGTTCAATTGAATTATTTTTTTTTAGCTACATCAAAGCCATGGGATTCACAGTCAACAAATTCCTGGAGTGAGCAACTGTCTGGATAAGAGCTAGTCGCAAACCTGACGCTGTAAGGAACTACCAATTATTCATACCATTCATGCTGACAAAAGATGCAAAATACATCTACCTGACAAAACCTTTATTTGAAGGCATTAGGCCTTCTTGTGCTTAGGTGAGTAAATTTCAGTATGCTATCTATCACAAGTGATAAAACATCCATTTTCCTTTTAATGGGGAAGATGCACTCACAGACTACCTAAGAAGTACATGCAAATTAAGTTACTGTAACACAAAACTTGAAGACAAAAAATCTCATTGCTGAAATAGGCAACTTAGAATCACAGAATCATTTGAGTAGGAAGGGATCCTCAAAGGTCATCCATCCAACTCTTCCGCAATAAACAGGAAAACCTACATTACTTCAGGCTGCTCAGAGCCTGGTCCAGCCTGACCTTGAACCTCTCCAGAGATGAGGCATCCACCACTTCTCTGGGCAACCTGTTCCACTGCTTTACCACCTTTATCTCAGTTCTTACTGAGATCCAGACTAAATCTCCCCTCTTTTAGTTTGAAACTATTTCCCTTTGTCCTATCCCAACAGACCCTACTAAAGAGTCTGTCCTTCCTTATACCCCCCCCTTTACCACACGCATTCCACACTTACCACATGCATTCTGTTTGCTACTTCAAGAGCTTTCTGTTTTGCTGTTTCAATGGCATATTCATAAGGGGCTGCAAAAGATGACTTTTCAAGTGTCTCTTTAAACCAGGATGGAACTACCTCAAAGCGTAGGCCCTGTAACAAAGAAAGAAAAGCAATACGGAAAGCGTAATCACATTAAAAGTTGCTCCAAGACACATCACGTAAGTGATGAATTCAGTTTCTGCTCTACCCACTTTAAAACATCCTACCTTTACACTTACAAGAGGGAAAAAATATGCTTCTAATATTATAGGGCTCTTTTCAGTATCAAATTTATGTACCCTGGGGCTAGTCTATTCCTGTAAGTAGAGTTTTTACTGAATCCATTCACAGTACTTGTGCAGCAGTACTGCATGCTCGTACGTGAGATTTACCACCCGCAGTTATACACTATTAAAAACGTAAGTAGAAAATAAGTAGATGGTTTTATAAAAAACATTGTACTTACTTCCCATCTCCAGATGACACACAAATTTACTACACCCAACTGTCATTACATTGCTAACAACTTGGCACATGTGAACCTCTATGCTTCTCTTAATCTCCATATACTTCCTTTACATTTAAGTTCTGACTTTTCCTATGAAGAACCCTGTGTAATTACATTACACATTTCATAATCATAGAATCATAAATGTTGGAAAAGACCTCCAATACCACCTAGTTCAACCATCAACCCCTCACCACCATGCCCACTAACCGTGTCCCTCAGTGACACATCCACACATTTCTTGGACACCTCTACAGATGGTGACTCAGCTACCTCCCTGAGCAGCCCATTACAGCACCTCACCATTCTTTTTGAAAAGGAATGTTCATAACACCCAACCTGAATCTCCACTGGTGCAGCTTGAGGCCATTCCATCTCATCCTATCACTAGTTACACAGGAGAAGAGACCAATCCCAACCTCACTAAAACATCCCTTCAGGTAGATGGAGAGAGCAATAAGGTCTCCTCTTAGCCTCCTCTTCTCCAGACTGAGGAACCTCAGTTCCCTCAGCCACTCCCCATCAGACTTGTGCTCCAGAACATCACAGATACAGTGCCCTTCTCTGGACACACTCCAGGAACCCAATGTTTTTCTTGTTGCAAAGGGCCCCAAAACAAACACAATACTTGAGGTGCAACCTCATTAGTAAGGTATGATACTCATATTACTGCCAGCCTACTGTCCCAGCTTGCACATGCCTCCAGAGATCAAATGCTCTGGAAGGATTAAAGCTTCCTCTATACTTCAGAAGTGCTTTGCAAGAAGAAGGGTAACTACTTTACCCCCCTCCCCCCCCCCCACAACAGTAATAACTCATCTCACGAATTTAGGGGAACAGATTGGCCTTTTAATTACTCCAGGTAGCATCAAGGTCTTCTAAGCTTTGCTTTAACTAACTAGAAGTAACAGTGCTGCCTTTTAGCAGAGCACTTTAATCTGTTCATCACTTGAGAGCACTTAAACACGCTGAACTAGAGAAACGCTAAGATGGAACAGAATCGAAATCTAGAAGGTCACGTTAACTCACGCACGCGTAACGAGCTGAGAGCTCTGAGAGTAGAAGCACGCGAGCAGGCCGACGCAGCCGCAGCGCACCCCCACCCCGGGCCGCTCACATAAGCAGGCAGCCGCCCACTGCGCTCGCCCCAGGGACAGAAGACACACAGCAGCCGAAGGAGCGCCGGCCTCCGCCCGCCCCGCGCTACCGACAGCCGGGCCGGGCCTCCTCCCGCGCCGAGGGGAGGGAAGGAGAGCGGCTCGGCAGCACTCACCACATTAGTGAGGATCTCCTGACGGCGCGGCGAGGCGCTGGCTAGCACCACCCGCTTACTGACCAGCTTCCCCAGCACCGGGCTCAGCACCATGGCCGCGAAAACAACGACCCGACGTCCCTCCCCCCCCCCCGGGGGGGGGGGGGGGGGGGCTACGGGGCGGCCTTATAAGAGCGGCGGGGCGGGGCCGGAGCCGGGCACGGCCAGCAGGCCGCGGCGAGCTCGGGCAGCCGATTGTATGGGGGGTGAGGGGCAGCCCTGCCAACGGCTGGGGGTTGGGGCTGGGTGGGAGTTGAGGTCCTTTCTAATCCCAGCCGTCCTATGATCTCTCCTACTTGTGGAGACCCAGGAAGTCAAGTGTTAACCCAACCACGGCTTGCCTCTTCTGGCTGAATTCTACTTACAGACTGCTTCTCTGACCTGCGCAAAGAAATTGACAACAGTTGAAATAAATAAATAGACGGGAAACGTGAGAAATTTCCATAGAGCCCTTTCCAAGAAAGTCTGTACAGTGTCTAAAAATGGAGACTGATAAAGGAGTTTTTGCAACCTTACATGACAAGGAGTGCATTAGTTTGCTTAAAAGGCAAAAAGCAAGGAGCTCTTAAAATGCCTATATTTATTCCCATGTACGTTACTTGTGAAGGAAAGTTCAAAAAACCCTTTCTGAGCACGCTAAACATCATCAAGTAAGCTATCACAGTTTGAAGAGATTTTATAAGTAATTATTTCTAATTTCTCTATTGTGGCCTTGCAAGAGCTGAGCAAAGCAAGTGTGAGGCTGCAGTGAGGTGACCGAGGTGAAAGCTGGTGACACCAACAGTTATCAGAAAAGTTTCTGCCGTGGCTGACGATGCTAGTCAAAGATTAGCTTGTCCAAGGTTGGTTATGAAACTGTTGACTTTTTCAAATACCTGGTGTATTTTGAACAAAAGCAAAGTAACAGAACTGTAAAGACCTTTCCTCGACAATTTTTTTGTGAATTTCTCTGCTTCTTTGCCTATGCATTTATACTATGGCCATCGCAGTAATAACTTGCTGCACGAGTATAACTAAAGAACACTATGCTAATCAAACTCTCGTGCCAGCATTTTTATATATCTCAGTAAGAGTTTGTATTTCAACCTGAATGTATTATTTAGCTGAGTCACATATACCAGCACAAGATCAAATTCTGTGGGGAACAATACACAGTATCACAGAATGGCACAGGTTGGAAGAATCAAGGATCATGAAGTTCCAACCCCTCTGCCACAGGCAGGACCACCAACCTCCACATTCAGTAGTAGACCAGGCTGCCCTGGGCCCCATCCAGTCTGGCCTTGTACAACTTTAGGGATGGGGCATCCGCAACCTCTCTGGGCAGTCTGTTCCAGCACCTCACCACTCTCTCTGTAAAGAACTTCCCCCTGAATCCAACCTAAATCTTCCCTCCCTCAACTTAAAACCGTTTCCCCTTGTCTTGCTACATTTCCATTGCAAAGAAGGTAGAGAATCCTACAAGCATAGCTATGAAGGAAATGAAATATTTCATCTTTCACAAGATTCATCTTTCACAAGACAGTTTGACTTTTCTAAGACAACTTCAGATTCATTCATTCAGATGTACGTTTTTGAGAAGCCTCTTTCTGGCACTGAAATTCTTGTTGTAGTCCAGTGTGTCTACACAATTCATGAAGAGGTATCTGTTCATTGTTACTTTAGGGAGAACATCTGTGATTTAAAGATGGATTCCGTTTCACCAAACAGTCATCAGCTCCAGGGACTCCTCTGCTTAAAACTGACATAATTGTATCGTTCAACATTATCTGCATTATTTTTTTTTTTTAATCTTTCTACATACAAATATATTTATCTAGCCATTTCTTCTGAACTGTACAGTTGCAGTGATTTTCCCACCTCATCTTATCATATATGTCCTCAATCTGTTATGGTTGGTTTACATGTTCAGCTAGGCTTGTGGATTTTTGGAAAATCCTAAGACTTTCAAGAGCTGTTTTTCCAGACTGAGGGAGTGCTTTCAGAATGGGTACCCTAGATCTCTTTCACGAAATTGATAGCTCTGTGCTCTTATAGCTCAATTTTAAGAACCTAATTATAATTTCAAATAAGTTTTCTTCAGCTCAAGTCTAAAAACTTTGTTCTCTTCTATAAAACTTTGAAGGCCTGCAATAGCTCAATGTGCATACATGGTCGCTTCACATGATTCCCTTCTTATCTTAAACAAGAACATAGGGAGATTTTAGGGAAACCACAGGAAGTCATTAAGGATTATTTTCCAGTTAAATACAGAGTCTGTGTATTATATAATGTCCCTATACATGTTTTTATATATACTTCATTTGATGGTGTTTATCCCACGTAGTTATCAAATAATATTATACCTTGCCTATGAAGAAAGTTCACATCTGAGAGAGTGCAACATATCTCGTACCAAAGACATATCAGCCCATCTCTCTGGCAGCTTTATGCCCATTTGATGGGACAAGTAGAATTAACACAAACATAGCAGTGCTACTGGGGACCAGGTAGTCACTCACAAGGCATGTTTTAACACAGAAATTATCATCCAAGCTTTGGTGAAACACCAGCATACTTAAATAGTGTAAGGAAGTTCCTTCCAAGAATTAAAAAACAGACGCCAGTGCTTCAAACTAACTTCTGTCCTTCTGCCACAGGGGAGGTGTTGCAAGGCAGAAAAATCTAGTCTTGGAAAAATCCCACTGAGAACACAGCTACACCCCAGTGAATGGTAAGTTGTGTCCCTTTGATGTCCAAGAGGATGAGCTACCAGATCCATAGCAGCAGCACAGGGCAGAAATATGAAAGGAGTATTTCCCTCCATCTCATTTCCACCTGACAACAACATGTGCCAGTTTACACGATACAGAAGCAGTGCTGTTTCCCAGCTGTTGCCACAGCCCTGCATCTGCCACTGAGAGCAACTTCTCTGAACTGCAGCTTACTTTCTCTCTTGGGGCCAACAAATGGCCTCAGGGGAGGAGACAGGACGGAGCTGAATAACCCTACAGACACTGTGACAGAGGGGTAAGAGCTTGCTGACAACACTGCTAGTTCTTTGTATGTTTGTAGGGCAGTGGGCTATTTCCAATTCCTGGGTCTCTCTTAAAGCACATGGCCTGCTTGTGCTGCAATTGTGGTTCCACACCTAATCTCAGTGCTGCCCCTGTCTCATTCTTATTAATGCTTACGTAAACTCCAGAGAAAAATAAATACTCTCAGATTGTGAAGCCCATTTTGTCTTCATTGCTTATATTCAAAAGCACATAAAAACAAGCTAATAAAATGTTTTCAGAAAATATATGTGTACATTATGTCTGTACTATATGCAAAAAATGCACACTATATATGTTTGTGTGTTTATGTAAAACATACACAAATATTACTTCACATACAAATCTACATTTGTCTAAGTATGAAAAACAAATAGGTTGTTTCTCTTAGGACTTCCTTCTCTTCTGCTTGTATAGTGTAGTGATTACTGGAAAGACAATGCTGCAGAGGCAGAAAAAAAATGAAGATAAAATGCAGGGAACATTTTCGTTTATTTCAGCTGGAATTCCAGCTCGTCCAGAAAGTGATTTCCTAATTGAGTCTCCACGTTTAAGAACGCTTTGTGATCTTTGCATGTTTACTATGCCAGTCTCCACATGAGGGCAGTAGATTCCATCATTTTTCTATGGCTTTGCTGTATGCACATAGCTGTGCGCTACTGTAACCGGTAGGGACAAAAACTCAACACCACAAGCACTCGAAGCACCATTTGGTAGACTTAGCTAAGGATTACCTAATGTAGCTGTATGTGTGTGTGTGCGTGCATATAGGGATACTCAGAACTAAAGTTAATGTCAGATAGTCTTGAAAGTTAATGTATAAACAAAATGGGAGCTATAAGGGGACATCATAAAGATACCCTGTTTGTAACAGCATTTAATGCCTCACCAACAAATTTGCATGATGGTATGAACAGCAGTAACTGGGACCCAAATACCTTTATTGAATATGAAAATTCAGCTGTAAAATCTAGATTAAATAGTGTTAGCTTACAGAGTTTATTTTTGTCTTCTACCTTCTTGATCAGATCAGATTTATCAATTAAAGAAAACTTATCTGCTCTACTGTATCTTAATTTTTACCACATTGAAGGCTTGGTTTTAGCAGCAATATGTGGAAATAGTTGTCTTGCTACAAATACGTTGACATTTTAGGAAGAATCATACTGACTGATGTGCATTATTCATCACAATGTGGTGAGAGACTGATGCATTCTGCACGGACTGGAAAGCAACATGATATAAGGAAAGGGAAAATGTCAGCCTGTGGTCAGTAAGCAGGAGCTGGGAAAATAGCACCATCAGTGTTGCACTGCTGAATCCTTTTGAAGAAGAAAAATTCATTGCACATCTCTGCAGAGTTTCAAAGTGAAAATTTTGTATACAGTCTTCATAGAAGTAAACAATGAAATGAGAGCTACAGTCATTTAACATGATATATTTGTCTTGAATTTTTTGGAGCCATAAAGGTTTGAGGAAGTGAGAGAGACTTGCAGTCTATTTGTGCATTTGCTGTGGTCCCCAGGAATATTTTCACCAGCTTATAAGCCTACATGGATTTCCATCAGATGAGCAAGCTCCTGTTAGAAGTGTGAAGATGGCAGAATGAGAAGAAAGCTGTCAAGAAGCAGAAAGTAACAGGCCCAGCATACTAACATTCCTTTTGTGGTGTGGCTTCATGGTAATGTGAAAGTTTATTAACATCTGGATGTCTGAACACAACCAACAGAAAGTACAGCTATCATGTGGATTCCAGAAACAGAGCAGGCAATCAAGATGCATATTGCCATGCACTAAGACACTTAGAGCAACACTTAATATCTAGTTTCTGATCAGATGAACTGTGCCTTTTGTGCCTCGCAAGCCCACATTTCTAGATATCTGAGTTCCTCTGCGAGGTGTTTGCTCTGTATCTAGGTAGTGGTTTATTTATCTGTTAATCACATTCCTTTCTTTGCAGCAAGAATCTGGAGTGTTGCTGCTGCTTCCAACTTTCACACTGAAAGGGCTCTATGTTTCTAAAATGAAATTGGCTGTTTATGAAGA